TTTCAGCATTATTGCTCTGAAGTTTTTTTTCCTACTGAATACCTCTCATCTGGATTATTTTTCCCCAGACGTACTATTGCACATCTTTCCAAGATAAGAGTTTTGTTTCCCCTTCCATATCCTCTGATCCCTTTGAATGACTTCTCTGTCCTTGCTAGTATGTGCTACTTTTCGTTGTTAAGTACCACCAATGCATGGCATTATTTCACTCTATCCTTTCTGTCACATCATTAATGAGGACACAGGGCAGGTGGTACTTTTAGTATGACAGTGACATCAAGTTCTGTATCTTTTACTGAACCAGTCACAGTTGTCAGTGGTCCTATCCAGTGTGCAGAGGCATAACTAAGAAGCAGGGTGAGGAGGGGCAGAGTGGTAAGCTCTTACCGCCTTGCATAAGGGTCACCGGTGCTAGTGCAGCAACTTTAGCCCCGCAAAGGCAAGCTTGTGCTGAAACTATATGGACTTCCTTTAAATCATCTTTTCTTAACCCATGGGTCACAACTCAAAAGTGGGTTGCAAGAATATATGAAAGAATCACAAACAAACTTTAAAAGTAGATTCTCCTTTAAAGGAGAAAAATGTGTGAAACTGTGGCTTTCCCCTTACAGGCTGTTAGAATTCCAGCCTGCAAGGGGCTACTTGGGGCCCCCTTACTCCCCCCACACACCCCACCCTGCCCCACACACTGTGGGGTGGAGCCAGGGGGCAGCAGGTTGGGAGCAAGGGGAATGGTTCGGGGACTGGCCAAAGTTTAGAAATGGGTCCTGGTACAAAAGAGGTTAATAACCACTACTCTAAATCAGTGCCTAGGACTAGTGCCCCACTCACTCATCCCTAGTTACACTACTGCCCCTGTGGGCCTTAAATCTGGGTCAAGGATTAAACCTTACTGGTTAAGACTTGGTCTAGATAAAAGTGAACTGACATTCATGAAGGAAAGGAAAGCAATCAGAAAAGAAGGTAAAGATTTATATCTGCCTGATTGTGCCTTTTGTTGCCTGAATTTATAACCTGAGCTACTCTTACATGACCCAGTAACAGTGAACCAAATGGTCTTTTCTTTTTGCATCAGACCAGAAAGTTGCATCCCTTTCTTTAGCTCTGGTACTTTTATCACCTCGGCTAGGGACAGACATTACACATAAACTGGTTTAAGTGATCAGAAACTGGTTTAAACCTGTAACAGAACAGATGTTCAGTGCACATAAACCAGCTTGAAAATTGCTGAAACTGGTTTGAGATAAACCTGGTTGAATGTATATCAGACTTAATTGATTTGGGTCAAACTGGTTTATGCAATGTCTCTCCCAGACCCCTTCCTGGTTTAAGTTAAATCAGAGTTCCCCAGCATCCCAGTTGCTTTGCAACTGTGGGTAGGGCTTTGTTCTCTGCTTCAGCCCAGCAGGGACAGCCCTTCCCCTCTGCTCCCTGGCTGGAGCTCCAGCAGAGACTGCAGGCATCTACTGGGCTTCCTCCTGCCTCCCCCTTAGCACTCCCTGCTCAAGCAGGGATTCCCCACTCCCCTCTGCCTTACACAGACACCGATCATCATTAGCTAGCATACCACATGCTGGCTACAGTCTGTGTTGTGGGAGACATGACAAAGGCAGACAAGACAGTGTCAGCTTAGGGCTTTTTGGAGCTAATCAACAGGTAGATGGTAATGTTCCTCCATTCCTTCCTTGGAAAAAGTTGCTTAAGAGCTTTTAATAATGAGAGAGACTGCTGTTTTGTTTGATACTGATACAGCTACCAAATACATCTATGAAACTCTGCATGTAACTCCCTTCTGTGTAACTCAATGCTCTTTTATCAACAGCGGGGGGAGGGCAGGGACACCCCTCCCTAATCAGAGAGTCCTGCCAGGGCCTGCCTACGCCCTGCCCCCCACAGCTCAGCATTGCAGAAGGGAAGGGAGGGCTGCTCTAGTGCCCCCTGGCTTCTAGCCTGAGCCACTACAGGCATGTGCCAGCATTTCTTCAGTCCAGAGGGGATGTCTGTACGGTTACAAACCGGTTCAGCCTAGTCAGGTTAAGCTAACCTGCAAAGATTGAATCAATTCAGGCTTAGGCTTTTTGAATGTCTGTCTGTAGCCCATGAGATCAGACTACTGCAATGCTTTCTATAGCTCAGACCCATTCAGAAACTGAAGCTCAGCTTGGCAGTGTCTTGCTTTTAACAGTTTGCTTTGCTAGGAATATGTTATAGTGATATTTCACACATGACCCTGGCTTACCAGTGCTTTCTGTATAGAGTATAACAGATTGGTTTTGACTGATGAGCTCCTTTATGGTTTACAGTGCATCCCTTTATGGTATAAATCTTCACTTGACAGTCCACCTTTCTCCTCATAAAATCCCACTACACATGGTCAGGTCAGAGCTTCCTTGATCTTGTTTAGGGTCCCATAACTTAGGCATTTTCTCTCCCATATTTCTAAATCAGTTAACCTATATAGCAGGCCAAAAACCTTCCATTTCATTGAAATCTTGGATTTCTAAGAACTGTATTTTTAAATTTTGAGTCCCTGTTTTCTAAGATGCTTGTTTTTTGGCTAACATTTGTCATGCTTTTCCATATGAAAATTGTATTGAACTTTCCTTATAGTAAGACTGACTGATAGAGCAATGTTAACATGTTATGTATGCTTCTAGGGAAATGAGGATCTACTGTATCTAGGCCTGACCCTACTTCCATTAAAGTCAATGGCTAAGCTCCCATGGACTTAAAAGGGAGCAGGGCCAGATCCTCCATTTGCAAAACCCTGTTGTGGGTGCACTGAGACAGACCAGTTAACATCTTACTACGGTACCAAAGGCACAAGTTTGTCCTCCAGACTTGTACTGAAGGCTGTCCCAAATGACCATCTGGAAATGAATACCTGGTCACTCAGGCTGGGAAGTCAAAGGCAGCCTGCTAGTCACATGATAGCACTTGTGCACTCCTGGCTATTGAAACTAATCTTAACTACACTAACCTGATAAGGCCTTTGACTTCTTTTTTGATTGCTTGTTCTGAAGCTAAAAAGAAACCTTTCTGTCTGCCTCTGTTAAATGCAGATGGCCTAATTCTGCTTGGTGTTACACCATTGTCAATCAGGAATGATTCTGCTGTGCAAGGACAATTTCTGTTTCCATTTTAGCTAGCAGTCCCTTCCAAGTTGTGAATTAGTTTGTTATTGCACAAAAGCAGGAATTTTGAGAGTTGTGAAATCACTTTAAAATATTGGAACAGAAAGATGTGAACAAAACAGTGCAACTAATTACACTTTATGCAGTTTATTCTCCCTTCAAAGCATAATGTATTACTGCCAATACAATTAATGGGAATTATGTGCACACACTGAGGAAAGAATATGCATGAATAGTTTATATTTCAGTCTATTGAAATGGCAAGCTTCTAATTTTTGCCATTGACTCAGAATAGTTGCTATAAAGACAAGGGTTTTTTATATTAATATTGTGAACACATCTGTGAATTTTATCATCAGGCAAATGACCATGGAGAATGACAGCTTTTACATTTTAGTAACTAGCAATATTCTACTTTTTTGCCTTCAAATGGAATAAAGTTATAATTAACAACTTTAACCTACCCTGAGTATTGCTGTCAAATGTGCATTTTACAGTCAGAGTGATACATTTGCTAATGTGCAACATAAAAGATCTAGAAAGCCTTGAAACCCCACCTGAAGAAATTGCATGTGTGTTCCTTGTTTAGACTTATTTTAATAAGGGTTTGTAGCTAGACTAGTTTCCTTTTCCCAACTCATATTTTATTTTCCCACAGTAGAAAAAACAATAGACCAAAAACAAAACAAACAAACAGGGAAGAAAGCAAAAGGAATCATACAAGGGCATTAATTTCCTCTTCTCATCAGATAATAATTATAATTATAATTACCTGTTTTCCTGTTGCAAGTGGGTTAAGTGGCTTCTTTGTTTTACAAGCATGTCCAACTTTTCCTCTCTCATCTTAAGTTCAGTGAAGTAACACTGCAAGTCAAACAAGCTGTCAATGGCACTGAAGTTAAGAAATAACAAAAAGCTTTGTGTTTTGAAAATGCATAAGGGAAAAGAGCAGATAATATCAGTTAAATTTCCCTGATCTTTAAAATGAAACAAAACAGATTTTTTTTCCGTACACAGAGTTAAGGCAGTGTGAATCTCCTCTTAGTTGCACTGCTTTAAATAAAAAGTAGCTTAAGTGCAGCTTTATTATTGTGAAATGGGTGCACATGAGATCAGAAGCATTGTTAGCTTATGTAGAAGTGTAAGGGAGAGTAATGAGGGTTCATTACAGCCAGACAGGAAAAAACCTTTGTTTGTTTTTTGTTTTCACTTAAAAAGGGCAATACTGGGAAGTTCTTTTCTCTCTAATAAACCAACATGGCATGTTCCTTCCTTCAACCCATAGCATTCAGGATTTTAGTAAATTCTTAACAAGATGTATCATTCTGTTAAATCCAAATAAATATGCTCATAGGAGATATTTTACTCATTAGCATTTTTCATTATTTCGGTCTTTTCTTAGGTATGTAGCTTTGTGACAATTATACTGCATTCTTGAACAGCGTGTATGTTTTTCTTTTATTTCTATTATTACCATCTCTCTGTCTCTCTCTCAAAAAAGAACGATTAAACCCATGTCCTGATTTACTAAAGGCAGCACAACTGTGATAAGCCTTTCCTTTCTACAACAGCCATGATTACTGCAGTAATTTTTTGCCAATCCGAATGTATGAGACACACAGGGAATAAAGTTACTAAAAGCTGAAATGTTATATTGGTTAATGCATTTTGGGTACCAAGGTCATCCAAAGCCTTTTTTTTTGCATTATCATTTGGAGCCACCTGCAGGAACAGAATATAATGCTGTCAAAATGGGGAGAGTTTGTCAGTGTTTGTGATCATGTGCAGGAAGGAAAGATGTACTTTATTTGTAAAGTATGGTTCTGCAAAAATGTTTTTCTCACAACTTGCACTCTATCCATATAGGAATGGACCCCATAACTATACCTCTAGAGGAAAACCCGGAAAAAGAGACACAGATCTGTCAAAGCAAAGTCTGTGCACATAGGTAAGTGAGAAGAGAAGAATATCAGAAAAACTACGGTAGTGGGGACATCTCAGAGTGACCTTATGTAATACAATGTCATAAGCTCTATGATAGTCTAGGAGGTTTGGCATAAGCACAATTCAGGAAGGGGAAAAACAGTCAATGTTTTAATGAAGCATCCAGGTAAATTAAAGAAAGTTTTGAAGAGAAGTGGCTGTGATAGTCCAGGAAATAAGCAAGAGGCAAGGATTTTTGTGGGTTATATTTTCTATTGGACAAATGGCAAGGTTGGGATAAACTTAGACAAGCTTTTGGATGCAGTGCATTCTTCTTCAGGTCAGACAGATGACACTGTGTTAAAAAATAGCACACAGAACAGTTCTGTGCAAATAAATAAATATAGATATAGTTTACAAAATCCTATTTTGACAATTTTGCATCCAAGAGAACAGAAAATATCTTTATTTGTTTTGTTCTCTCAAAACTGTCAGTCAGAAAAAAATGGAAAGACCCTATACATTTTCACATGTCATGTGGCTAATCAAATAGGTGTGTTTTATTTCAGTTAAATTATTCACTTCTCACAATAACTTTTCCTATTTCAGGTTGCATTGTTTCACATTTCTGAGATCCCAATCCTTTTTGTTCATATTTACAGCACCTTTTAACTTTGTTTTGAGTGGGAATGGGGATCACTTTTCACTTAACTTTCTTTGGAAGGTTATTAATGATATATAGAATACTATTAGCTTCCAAGCCATTCTGTAAAGTAACTAACATATTACCTCACTATAATGTAACACTACTATTATTAATCATTCAGTTTCCTTTTAGTAAGCTACATGTTTTTCCACCATGTTGTAGAATTACCTTTAAACCAAATGTTTGCCAATCTCAGTAAATAGCCCTGTACTGGATGGCTTGCTAAAATGTATATGCATTACCTACTTAATTCCATTTATGCAGCAGGCTCCCCCTTTTCACATTTGCTATTCAATGTAATACATGGTAACAACCTAACAGAGGACATGAGTTGCCCTCCCACAGGGCCATGATGGGTAGTACCTTGCGCTTCAGTCAGTGATGTCCTGAGTGCTAAACCTGACTGCTGCAGAGGGAAAAAGAGACCCCCACCCCCCAATTTACTTTCCAAAGCTACAAGAAGGATTTTGCTTCTTGGTTTGTTAAATTAATCTTTTTGCATCTATGCTTCATGTAACCAGGCCCATTTAGCTTTGACCCATTCTTTTAAATTTCTCCTCCCTGAAATTCATTCGCCATGGATCTGGATTCGTAATTACAGAGTTTGCCTCTAGCATGTGGTAGCAGTGACAAAGTGGTCAAGGCATCTTGCCATGGCTCCAGACATCTCACTTTGGGCTTATACAGAAGTCTTCCCTAATGCACCTAGCTGTCAATTGGTATCTAATGTTTTGTATTATGGAGCCAGAAGCAGCTGGATGTGAATTCTACTGTATAACTCCATCATGTGCTATTGGTTACCCATGCAAGCTTCTGCCTCTTCTACCTTGAGTATTAGGTAATTATCCTCCATTTGATTAAAGTCATACACACACAAAATATACTCTTTCTGCTGGTGGCAGTTTTCCAAACAAATATCTGTGTTGTGGACATCACCAAGAGTCATTCGCTACAATCACTTGTCCCACTTCCCATAGTCTTGACTCATTTTTATCCTCCTTGTGGTAAACCCATCTCTAACAGACCTTGCATGTATAATGTCCTCTGTTACTTTTCTCTCTTTTTCCTTCATGTCATTGACTGTATTTTGTGTTAATGTATGTGTAAGGGAGGAGAGCCGGAGCCAAGGCCGGGCTGGGAGAGAGCCCAGCCGGGCACGAGCCGACACCACTGGCACGTGGCGGTCAGTGGCGAGCGGCAGGAAATTGAACCCTGCAGGAACCCGGAAGCGGAAGGTGCTGGGGCCACCTGGGCCCCTTCAAAAGGAGCACCGGCACGGGCAGAAGGGGCCGGTGTTGACAGAGCCGGGAGAGCCGGGTCTGGCGGCAGCGGCAGCGGCAGAGCCAAGAGAGCCAGGTCCGACGGGGAGCAGTGGAGCCTAGGTCGGCAGACACTGCTGAGGCAAGGAGAGCTACGGAAACCGCAGCGCCCCAGCAGACCAGGGCCCGCGGACGGAGCGGTTGGACATTCTTGGGGTAAGCGGGACCCCGGGGCAGGGGTCCGCACACCAGACTGGAGGCCAGGGCGAGGGTGTAGGGGTGGAGGAGCCCTCTGGACACCCGCATCCGGAGCCAAGCCGGACAGCGACGAAGGTCTCATTACCGGACAGTACGCGCTATACCAACTGAACAGCATATCAGATAACATCAAGTCGTGGCAGGCGAGGCAGGCGCATACGACCATCCGGGTGGGGTGAGTCTTCACTGTGAGTGGGGGGGGGGGCCGCGGTCCCTTCCCCAAGGACCGGGGAAGGGAGGGACACAGCCTAAGAGAACTCACTTACAGTTGGTGCATTGGCCGGGAAACCGGCAAGGCTTTCCTAGGACAATCAAGACAGGAAAATGGAATACCCGCCAGGAATGACGGGGGTGGACCCTACGCAGCAGACGCTGAGTCTGATTGTGCAGTTGCTGCAACAGCACCAGCAACAGTCTCTTAGGCAAATGAGCCTTCAGGAACACTGGTTGCAACAGCCCACTAGGATACCCCAGGGCACTGGAGACTTTCATGTACCGAAAATGACCAGGGAAGACGATGTGGAAGCCTTCCGGGAGGCCTTTGAGCGGGCGGCATTAGCCGCCGGGTTGGAGAAGGCCAGGTGGGCAGGACAGGTGGGGGTCCTATTAGTGGGGCCTGCACAGGCCGCCTACTGGCCATTATCCCGCAGTGAGGCTGCAGCTTATGACCAGGTGAAGGCTGAAATTTTGCAGAGGTTGGCTATAACCCCGGAGCGCCACAGACGAGCCTTCCGAGGAAAGAAATCGAAGGAGGAAAAGAACCCATGAGTTTTGTGGCAGAGCCTCACCGATAGTTTGAACAAGTGGCTGCGCCCGACGGTGGCGTCAGAAGAGGAGATCTGTTATCAGATTTTGTTGGAGCAGTTCCTGGGTGATCTAGAAGACAACACCCAACAGTGGGTCAGGTGCCATGGCCCCACGACAACACGCCAGGCGCTCCAGTTGGCTGAACAGTTCGATGCGGCACAAGGAGCCTCGCGACCAGAGAAAGGTATGAAGGGACGGGAGGTACCCCTCAGGGGAATCAAGGAGACCCGAAGAGACAAGAGGATGTCGGGGACGGGCCCTCTTTGTTTTCTCTGCGGAGGGCACGGTCACATAGCGAGAGTGTGCCCTCAGAATACCAGAGGACGAGATGGGAGGAACAGTCACCCTTGGGAACTGGCCCCAAAGGAGAAGGAGGGCTTGGACGGGGAGCCCATGGAATGCAGGGTCGGCGCAGGACCCCCTACAGTGGTGCAGTCACTACCCGAGGTTCGGGTTTGGGTCGAGGGCCGTCCACTGACAGCCATAGTAGACACCGGTTGTGCGCAATCCCTGGTGCGACCGTCCCTGGTCGAGTGGAGGCGGGCGCCCCGGTGTACAGGAATCCACCTGGTGTGCCTGCATAAACGTAAAGCCTATTTCGAAAGACGCCTATTGGGGGTGCGGGTACAGGGGAGATGTCGACAAATCCCAATCGGGTTGAAGGAGGATATTTTATATTCCATGATCTTGGGCAGAGATTGACCCAAGATATTTGGGATTGTCGCTGACTTCACCCGCTCCGGAGCCCCTTCGGGGGGAATGGCTGGAGAAATTGAGCCGACAGTGGAGGAGGAATTGGAGGACCTGACAAGTAGCAACCTGTTCCAGGAGGCGCAAGAAGCGGATGCGGAGCTACGTCCATTCCGAGAGGCGGAGAACGGAGATCAGGAGGCGCAGGTGAGCCCCCCTGCAGACCAGAAAACGGGGCCACGGGTGGAGCTTAGGCGGGGACTGTTGTATTGAGTTAAGCCAGGCCGCATGAGGGGGGAAGAACTCGCCCAGCTGTTAATCCCACGCCCCTATAGAGACCAGCTGCTACGGCTGGCGCACAGGAACCCCTTAGGGGGGCATTTGGGAAAACATAAGACGGAGGCTCGACTGACTCGATGGTGTTTTTGGCCACATCTATACGAGGACGTAGAGAATTTTTGTAAGGCCTGCGGACGGTGCCAACGGGTGAGCGCTAACAAGCCTCCTCAGGCCCCGCTGCAACCCATGCCTATGGTTCAGGAACCGTTCACACGGTTAGCCCTGGACATTATGGGCCCACTCCCATGTAGTACGTCAGGGTACCAATTTGTATTAGTCCTCATTGATTATGCCACCCAGTTCCCGGAGGCCATCCCGTTGAGAACGGTGACAGGCACCCGAGTGGCAGAGGAATTGATGAAATGGGTGGCGAGATTCAGGATCCCTAAAGAGATAATGACAGATCAAGGGACAAACTTCATGTCCATGGTCCTGGCCGCAGTGTGCCAGGTGCTGCAGATACGCCACCTCAGAACGACAGTATACCATCCGCAAGCTAACGGGCTCGTGGAGCGCTTCAATGGCACCCTCAAGGGCAAGTTACGCCAGTGCATGCAGGATGACCCCCGTAGATGGGACCTGCTGGTACCACCCCTGCTTTTTGCAGTGAGAGACGCGCCCCAAGCGTCGATGGGGTACTCCCCCTTTGAGTTGGTCTTTGGACACAGGCCCCAGAGTCTCTTAGACCTAGTTTGGGAAGGTTGGGAGACGGGCCTAGGCCCCGAGGAGCGGGCAGACAAGCACGTGCACGGCTTGAGAGAACGCCTGCAGCGAGCTGATGAAATGGCCCAACAGCATTTAGGGGAGGCCCAACAGCGGCAAAAGGACAATTACGATAGAACCGCAAAGGAACGAGAGCTACGGGTAGGGCAGAAGGTATTGGTGATGTTGCCTGACTTCCACAGTAAGTTCCTTACCCAGTGGCAGGGGCCTTTTACAATTGTGAGAAAGGTAGGCCCGGTGGACTATGAAGTCCTGCGGAATGGAGTTAGGAAGAAGAAGCAGATCTATCATGTCAACTTGCTGAAAGAATGGCAGGAACCCCAGGGCCTCCTACTCTACCCGGAGTCGGAGGATGAGGAGTCCAGGGTGGACGAAAGTAAGGCAAGTCCAGGCCCTAGTACTAGTCCAGGTGTCCCAACGGATAGGCGGCTGGGAGCCCGGCAAGAACAGCAGATCCGAGCTTTAGTTCAAGAATTCCAGGATGTTTTTACGGATAGGCCAGGGACAGCGAGGGGTGTCGAGCATCGAATCATTACAAAGGGAGAGCAAATTGCCCGGGAGAGGTGGCGGAGGATCCCCTTCCA